AGAGCTCAGCAGACAGTTAAGTTTCACTTTCACTTTGACCTGAGAGCCAGCAGGAGTCATGGGCGGGGTGTGTGGGGAGGGGAGGGGGTGTGCTCTGTGATGAGGAAGTTCAGCTTAAAGACACGTCCCAGAGGTGTTTCTGGTACCAAAAGGTGTTTCTGGTCCCCACCTGTCGTTTTGCTCCTCAGCATGGCTTCATAAAAACACTGCAGGATTTCTCAAACATGATGAATGAGTCAGAGCAAGGCTTTGGGCATGTTTTTATGAGAGTATAACATTATAACATGATATAAAACTCAAAAAAGCTGATTTTACATGATGTTGCTCCTTTAAGACAGGGAGCCAAGTGACCACAATTGTGTTAAATATATATAAATTTTGACTAAAGGTTCTCAGTATCTCACTCATGAACAATGAGTGCCACTGAGCTGAGAAATAAAGACACAGCTTGTCTGGTTTTCTTCACAGAGAGGAGACGACTGAAAGGCTTTCAGACACATTCAGTCACTCCTGATAGACGGTCGGTGAGGTTATTTGTGGTTGTTGTGGAGATAAGAACAGTCTCTRTTCGATGTCAGCGCCTAAATTTTTTCAGATGTTTGACCATGTGAAACGATCATTTGTCGTTCAGAAAAGTGTATTTATTTATATTTTGTGACGACCGGGGGACCAGCCAGCAGCCATCCTCTAACAAACTTCCAGGACATCCACATGAAAACGAGCTCATTTATCGGCCTCTCTGTTGGCCTGAGTTCATTAATCACGACTGCTGTATGAGCTTTTATTGATTAAACCCATGTTGTTCGACACAAGAGGCACCGACGGTGCTTCACGCTGTATGTGCAGTGTTTTTGTTACAGCGTTGAACTCCGACCAACCTGGGCTCGTTTATCACCAGGTAAATTAAACACAGCYCAGCCTTTGAGATTTCTACAGGCCTGCTGCTGCATTTTCAATTAATTTGTTCACTGATTGATTGGTAATCACAAACGGCACTCGAGGGGTGAAACTCAACGGTTGTTTATCTGCGATTGAAATGTGCAACCATCTTTCATTTAATAAGGACTGAAGAAGTGGAAGTTAGCTGTTAGCTGTAGCTATAATCATCATCCTCAGTCAGTGGTTCCCAAAGGAAGTCCTATAAAACTGCCTGCCTTTGTTGAGACTAAAATGTGAGGTCATTTTAGGTGTCTTAGTCTCTGTGTTAGAGCTAGGGTGAGAAGCTCGGTCATCCAGGAGGTACTCAGAGTAGAGCCGCTGCTCCTCCACGTCGAGAGGAGCCAGTTGAGGTGGTTCATCTGGTTAGGATGCCTCCTGGACTCCTCCCTGGTGAGGTGTTCTGGACACGTCCCACTGAGAGGAGACCCAGAGGAAGACCCAGGACACGCTGGAGGGACTATGTTCCTCAGCTGGTCTGGGAACACCTTGGGATTCCCCCAGAGGATCTGGTCCGTGTCTGCAGAGAGGGAGGTCTGGGTCTCTGCTGAGGCTGCTGCCCCCGAGACCTGACCCTGGATAAGAGGAAGAAAACAGACGGACTAATGTTTATCACATAGAAACAGTCAGGTCTGCTGTTATYTTTTTGGGAACCACTGTCTTGGACTTTTGTTGTTGTGGCAAAATAAACATCGTTCAGCAGAAGAAGGTGCTAGTGGCAGGTCGGTGTTAAAATCACAGACCTGGTTACTGGTTCAGGTGTTAAAGATTAGACCTTTACAACTAAAAATATCAAGGAGTTTATACAGTCTGCTATGCTGCGATAAATAAACTTCATTTCAGCTCTTGGCTTGTTAGTTTTGACTACATTCAGACTTGTAGTCCAGATTTAAAAGTTCGATTGTTAAAAAAATATGAAACAGTATAAAATGCACCTATATTAACTGTTATCCTAGAGGGATTAGATGTTCTTGTCTTTTGTTTTGTTAATGATAGTATTTTTGTTGTATGAATGTATTCCTGGGAGAAAAGGAGCAGATATAAGATTTTTTCTTCTCTCTGCTACCTTTCATTTCATTTGTGATTTTGATACACATATATTGTTTTTCTAATTTTTCTTTTWTATATTTTTCTTTTTATTGTAAATAAATTTTGTTTTAATGAAATGAACAAACTAAACTTAAACAAATGATTAAAAGCTGACATGTAATCCTGTGGATAATTTTCTATCTATAATCTTTCTCTCAAATCCATCAGAATTACCTTTAAAGAATTTGAAGATTAAATAATAAGAATTAGAAAATAAATACGCCTGAGTTGTACTAGTTTTTATGAAATTCGGTATAAACTATATACAGTATTCTTCTTGTTTACATGAATATGGTCTTTTTATTTGTCCTGATGTGTACAATAATAAATAAAAATACAACAATAATAACAATATTCCTTTAGTTTTATAATGTCTCCTCCACTGACCATAAAGGTTCCCAAAAAGGCCTTGAAAAGGCCCGTGGACCACCAGTTTATAATCACTGTTGTAGCTTGTTTTGCAGCTCTGGACACATTTTATTAGTGAGACGAGGAGCAGAAATGGTTCTTTTGATCGTAAAGGTTGCAGACCCCTGATCTTGGGTAATGTAATCCTCGTGACCCAACGTCCAGCAGGTTTGAGCTGTTTCCCTGCTTCCACACACTGGAGACAGTCAGGTTTTTACTAGGGGTGTAAGAAAATATTGATACATTGAAATATCGCGATATTTCATTTCCCGA